TCTCCCTAACAAAGATAATTGTAACTTTTTCCACTCCTCTAAATCCTTTTGAATTTTTATCCATAACTTATCATAATTATTTTTATACAGTTTGACATTAGAGGCTGTAATATAAACACCCAAATATTTCACCTTTTTCACTATTTCAAAACCAGTTGAGTTACTTAAAGTCTCTTTATCTTTCGTTGACATATTTTTAGCTAATATTTTAGTCTTATTATTATTTACTTTAAATCCAGAAACTTTCCCATACTGAATCAAAATCTGTGTCAGATTTCTTGCTGAGTCAATCGGTTGAGATAGAGTGAAAACCAGATCATCAGCAAACGCTCTAAGCTTATAGTCATTCTTGTCCAAAGTTATTCCTTTTATAACCGATGATTCTTGAACCTTGATTAAAAAATCTCCAAAGTCAAAACAAATAATAGAGGTGATAGTGGACATCCTTGTCTCGTACCTTTCTCAATTTTAAATGAGTCTGTCAATCCTCCATTTACTACCACTTGTGCTGATTGTAATTGGTAAATAGCCTTTAACGCTGACAAAAATCTGTCCCCAAAATTCATTCTCTCCACCACTCGTAACAAAAATTGCCAGTCCAGTTTATCAAACGCCTTTTCAGCATCCAGAAATATAAAAGCCGCTGGAATTTGATTATTTTTGTCCAAATATTCAAGCAGGTTTACAATTTGTCTAACATTATTCTTCATGTATCTACCAGTTATGAATCCAGATTGGTCCACATGTATAATCCGTTTCAATACTTGCATTAATCTATTAGCTAAAATTTTTGCAAAAATCTTATAATCCATATTCAATAAAGATATTGGCCTATAATTTTTGGGCTGAGTCAAATCTTGATCCTCCTTCGGTATAAGTGATATAAATGCAGACCTCCAAGATGGTGGTACTTCTAATCCAGACAATATACTATTAAAAAGACATCTCAAAGGTTCTAACATTTCTTCCGATAACATTTTATAATATATTGCAGTTAACCCATCTGTACCAGGAGCCTTACTCTTTTTTTTTTTTCAGGTTTATTGTGCCAGCATTATCTATTAGGTATGCCAGCACCAATGATCTTTTTATTTATATAAGTAACAAAGCAATTTGCTCCAAAAATATAAACACCTGAATATACTGTGAACATTGGTCTTACATACAAGAGTTTGCACCATATTAGGTAAGGTATGATTTAGTAATTTTGATTTTGTACTGTGCTGTACTTTCCTTTCTGCATTGTATTGCAGAGAATTGTAAAATATCGTATTGTATATTTGTATAGACAACAAAATCAAGATAAACAAACCCTTAAGAACATATTGTTGTCCAAGCAAGTAGTTATTTTACATATATATATTCCCAATATGCTGTTTTACATAACTAATAAGATACAAACATTCAACTCTTGGACACAGTTTGAGAAATGGAGGAGATGCTCTGACAACATATAGGGTACATAAAAAGCATTTACATTCTTCACCATTTAAGCCAAATATCGGTCTCATTTATTCTAAAGCATTCTAAACTCAACAAAAATTAACTTGAAACAAGCTTAATCTTTATTCTTATCACTAAGTGGAGTATTTGGGTTATAAAATGCTAAAATAATGATTTTCCAGCTCCTTCTTTTGCTAATCGATCAGCTGCTTCATTTCCAGGAAAGCCAGCATGACCGGGAACATGCATCCACTGGATGTCCATGCCTTCTGAAAGCTTAGCAAGCCTTTCAAAATCTTCTCTGTTTGTTACTTCTTTTCCTGCACTGGTTTTCCAACCGTTAATCTTCCAGTTTGGGATCCAGCTTGTCACACCGTTAATGGTGAATTTGCTGTCAGTATAGATTGCCAGTTTTCTGATATTCTGTCTCTTTGCTTGTTCTATTGCCTTGCAAGCTGCGTGTATTTCAGCCCTTTGATTTGTTTGCCGTCCATGAAGTCTTTCACTATTATTTAGAGGGTGATCAGGTCCCCAATATACACCTGTTCCAGCACGTGCTGCCTCGCGTCCATTACTTGAACAACATCCATCCGTATAAACAGTTACATAATCTCCCATGTATAAGAATTAATTCTTATTTGCCGGAGGAGTATAAGGAACATCTGTGTATTTTACACGCTTATTTGTACATTTGTTCCCTGAAAGCTCTCCGTATCGTCTTTTGTGTGATCTTGCATTATATGACTCAGATGTAGCCTTGTTACTGTAATAGCTATAATTGTTCTGCTTTTCACCAAAGCCTTTGTATAAGAATTCATTCTTATTTGCCGGAGGAGTATAAGGAACATCTGTGTATTTTACATGCTTATTTGTATATTTGTTCTCTGAAAGCTCTTCGTATTGTCTTTTGTATGATCTTGCGTTATATGACTCAGATGTAGTGTTGTTACTGTAATAGCTATAATTGTTCTGCTTTTCACCAAAGCCTGTTGAAGAAATGGATGATTCTGCTGACTCTTCATTTATAAAAGCCCAAGCTTCTTTCTTTGATGCAAACTTCTTAAAGCTGGCATACTGATATCTATGAACTTGTTCGTTACATTCCTCCCAGGTGCCATACACTCCTATTCTCCTACCTCTCCGCACCGCATAGAACATGCCGCCGCTGCCAAGGGCTCCAGAACTTCTGCCCGGAGTTTACTCCCGCTAGCAAACTTCACGAAGGCGGGAATCTTCTGCGTTCCAGGCTTCCCATTCAGGAGCCTTACTCTTAATAAAAGTTCCTGTTGGAAGAAATTGTTTCCAAGAGTTCTGCTTTCTTAAGATGTGGGATTGAAGTGGATCCTTACATTCACTGTTCTCACAGACATCTTCAATCTCTCGTTGCATCAGGCCGTGGTTCCATCATGTTTTAAGACTGCAATCATTGTACCAGTGCCCCAAAAACTAAAATCACATGCCTTCATGATTACCGTCCAGTTGCACTCACTTCCATTATGATGAAGTGGGTTTTTTTGTAACAAATTTTATTAGTTTTCCAATTTTAACATCCAAGTATTTAAGCAATGTGGTGACTGGGTAATCAATAGTTCAGTAATAGCATTTTTAGTACATATCTCAGGTTACATTGTCAAAAATCCCTTCTCTATTTCCCATTGATATTTGATATAACATAGTTAAACTAGTAAATTTCTAGCCATAGCAAGCTCAATCAAAGCATTTATCAATCTTTTGTTTATACATATCCATGTCCTGTTTTTAAGTTTTACCTAATTATTGATTTCTAATTACAGTATTCCAATTTTAACCTTTAACATCCATAATATTCAAATTTCTGGTAACCCAAATTTCCTTTATTTCACTACACAAAAATTATAATGTCTAAAATACACATATTACTTACTTAAATATATTCTATTTTTATTTCATAAACATTTTCTAATTCTCATCCTAGTACATCACAGCTTACTAATAGAGTAACCTTTATTGTTTTAGATCCATCATCTATATTTTCTGGGCTAAGGCTCATTCTTAATATTTATTATAAATCTAAACTCTAAGTATTAGGCCAATTAGTCCAACAACATTTGAATCTAATAGCCATATTTCCCTTTGTCTCCAGGTCTCCCTTTAGCCCATTAGTTGAGACTTTAGGATCTCTCTTAGTAAGTCAAAAGGCCCCATTTTTTAACCCTAACTCTAGCTTTCTTTTTCTGCCAACCAAGTTTCCATACCCATGTCTTTAAGTTATCAAATAGGTCTCCTTTCATTCTGGTACATGTTAGTTGAATCAAGGGAGACCGTCTAGTCATCAATTTTTAAAAGAGCTTGTCCATTTATAATCATTAAGTTGTTGCTCTGGTAATTCAAGTCTCGGTATTTGTTCTAGTGTCTTTATCTTCAATTCGGTCTGGTCATCTTCTTCCTCAAGTTTCTTCTGATTTAAGTAAAAGGTCATATCCGATTTTATAGTTATTGATTGGTTATCTAGGTTTTCAATGTGCTGTTGATCTTTAGCATCCTCTGTTTTAATATTACTTTGTTTCACTTCTGTTACTTTTTGAGTTGTAGGTTCTTTGGTTGCAATCAGGATTTGGTTGTCAGTATTTTCAATATATTGTTGTTGTTCCTCTGTCTTAGTATTGATTTCTCCCGCTTCTGTTGTTTTTTGGGTTGTAAGTTCTTTAGTTGGAATCTGAGTTTCAGTTTGTAGGTTCACACTGGCACCTTTGTCTTTCAATCTGGATTTAATTATCTCAGTAGCTTCAAGGATTTTTTTCAAGTATAAGTTTATAGTCAAGGAAAGTTTGTTGCTGGTCCCCCTCCATTTCTGAAATGTTTATAGATAGTCCTTTAGTGGAGGCTAGTTTTTTAAGCAAGAGTTAGTGAATGTTCATCTCCAAAGTTCTTAAGAGCCAGTTTCAGCTCCCAGCTGCAGCTTTTTATTTTTAGATAGTGCCAAGGACAGATCTAGGTTGTAAACAGGTCTCTTTACCAGGGAAATTCACTTGTTATACCAGGCTTCACCACAAGATGTCCCGGTGGCATTTAAAATCCTTTTCAAAAAGGCTAGGCTTTTATCTAGTTTAGGTTCTTTTTGCGGTTTTTTTTTCAAATATTTAGGATAACCAGTTTCCGTGAAAGTAGGAACTTTTTAGGTCAACAGATCTAAGAAGCATGTAAGTCCAATTACTTAAATATATTTTTCAGGGTTTTATCTCCCCTATGTAGGCAGCCGCCGCCATTTTAGAGGGTGGGAGAAAGACATTCCCTTCCATCTCTCTTCACAGGGGGAAACAATTTCAGAGAGCTTTTGCAGGAAAAAATACTTGGGGTAAAAAGAAGGTAGGATCTCACCCAGTTTCTCCACGGTGCTTTCAAGTGCTTAGTTGTAAGTTTGTCCTCAGCTGGAAACGGCATTAATGATGGGCCATGTGAATGGCCGATCTTTTATCTGTTGGTCCGAAGAGCTGCTCTGGATCAAATGGAAGGGCTACTGCCCTTCCACGATCAGTTGGAGGTCCTCTTCCCCACTCATTGCCCCTCCTAGGCGACTTTCGACCCCTTTCAGGGTACCCCAGCGAAAGAAAACCAGACGGTGGAGGGAGCAATCGCCCTGAACGTCTGCCAGCACCGTGATCCGGAACCGGGAGCCATGATGAAGTGTTTTGAGAAGTTGGTAAAGGACTACATGGTTTCATGCCTTCCCCCTACATTTGACTCATTACAGTTTGCCTATCAGAAGAACTGCTCTGTAAAAGATGCACTTTCCTGTGTGTTTCATCTTAGCTTGGCGCACCTGGAGGGAAAGAATACTCATGTGCGAATGCTGTTTGTGGATTTTAGTTCAGCATTTAACACAATCATCCCTCAGCATCTGGTGAACAAACTGGGCCTATTAGGTTTTAATACTCCTTTATGTAATTGGATTCTTGATTTTCTTATTGATAGGCCCCAGGTTGCATGAGTTGAAAAGAAATTTCCAGTTCCATCTCCTTGAGCACAGGTTCTCCACAGGGCTGTGTCCTGAGTCTGCTACTGTTCACCTTGATGACCCATGACTGCTGTGCCAAATCTGCTACAAATCATATTATGAAGTATGCAGACGACATGGCAGTGGTGGGTCTTATCTGGGATGACAATGAAGATGCTTATAGGGAAGAGGTGAAGGCTCTGGTGGACTGGTGCAATAAAAGTAACCTGGTTCTAAATGTTGATAAAACAAAGGAGATCATTGTAGATTTCAGAAAGAGCCGATATAGTCATACTCCATTCAGTATCAAGGATGCAGCTGTAGAAGTGATCAACAGTATTAAGTATCTGGGGGTGCAGATAACTAACAATCTGAATTGGCCTCTCCACACATCATCCTTAGTGAAGCATGCAAATCAGTGTCTGCATTTCCTATGTCGGATGAGGAGAGCACATCTTTCTCCTTCTGTCCTGGCCACTTTTTACAGAGGCACAATTGAAAGCATTTTAACAAACTGCATCACTGTCTGGTTTGGTGGCAGCAGTGTCTCAGATAGAAAGTCCATAAAGAGAATGGTAAGAACAGCCGAGAGGATCATAGGAAGCTTTCTCCCTGGTATTCAGGATGCTGCTTCTAAGTGCTATGTGCTTAGAGCTCAAAGCATTGTTAAAGACCCCACACATCCACTTCACAGTCTGTTTCTGTTGCTCCCCTCTGGGAGGAGGTTTTGAAGTATTTCTAGCAGGACTACCTGATTCTATAATAGCTTTTTTGCCTATGCCATCCATCTGATAAACTCGCAAGATTCATCTTTCTCGCCATGCACATATATACATAACCCGAACTAGACTGTTGTTTCTCTGTGTCATATAATATATGTGAGTATATGCATAACTCTGTATTTTTTATTTATTTTTTCTCATATTTATGTAGTGTATATCAGAGGTGGTGACCCTTTGAAAGCTGAATACAAAATTTCATTTTAATGTATGCCGATTAGTGTACATTCAAAGTGACAATAAAGTTATTATTCTATTCTATTCTATTCTATTCTATTCTATTCTATTCTATTCTTCTTCAAATAAACAAAATCTTTACCATTTCAGCAAGATAATTTAACACTATCCCTTACTTGTACGAAAAAAAAAGAAAAAAGAAAAAAATTCCCATCTTCCATAAAGTTAACAAGTTAATTGTGTCATTTCATCAAACTACACCTATAAAAAAAAATCATTTTAAACCCTTAATAAGATTTACAACTTCAATTACTTAATTATCATTCGATTATTTATAT